GTGATATTCTCAACCAATTAATGATAAAAGTAGAAAATAAGTAACACTGATTTATGATGAGAAAAGATGTCGGGTAGTTATGTCTAGTAGTAGATGTATGAGATGTATTATAATAGGAATATGTATGTAACTCAAAAGGTAGAAAAAGAAACGAACAGAATTTAGATCATTTTTTTTAGGTTAAAATGTTGAAATGTAAATGTTGTTTGATGTCCAGTAGAAATTAAAGGTTCTCCTCAAGTTATTCAATTCCAAGGGTTCAATATTTAAGAAAAGGTGAAAGATTGGTGAACGAGTTGATTGAGTAAACAATCAAAACTCTTTACCAACCAGAACCTTTTCCCATATATTCTCCTTGTGAATGCTGAAGTTTGTATGTGTTGAGGTGAGAAGAAAATATATAGAGAGAGAAGAAAACAAAGGTCACACTGGAAAAGAAATTAAAATATTCGAATGACTTGAAAAGATGGATAATATGGTGAGAAATATGGATGAAGATGAATATTTAGAGATGGATTTTAAGAAGAAGAACAAGTCAACCAGATAGGATTAGATGAGAATAAGGTAGAATAGAATAGAAGAAGAGTAAAAAACAAAAATGTCGAAGATTATGAGAGAAAAGAGTTGAGGTTAAACAGTAATTAATTTCTCCATAATCATCACAATTATATTAGAAATCAAGTGAGTGAGAGAGAGAGAGAGAGGCAAAGATAGAGAGTAAAGAAGTGTGATGAGTTAAAGAAGAAAAAAAATGAACAACAATTAAACGAAAACAATTAATTGAATGGAAAATAACATGAACAATGTTTTCTCCTCACGACCTGTGAGAGCTTCGACTCACAACAAAAAAGAGAGACACAAACTCATCTCTCTTTCCTTTTCTTCTCTGTCTATTTTTCTTTCTTAAACCTTCATCATCATTTCCAATGTTCATCTTATTTCTCTCTTTCTATTTCTATCTCTTTTCTCAACACCGGCTCTTCCCTTCTCATCATCTTTCAATAGAACAAAATGAAAGAGAAATAGAAAGAGAAAACCGATAAGCTTATTCACTTTTCTTCTTCTTCCTTTTCATCATCTTCTCAAAGGTAAACAATCAAATCTCTCATCATAATCATCCCTCTCTCTCAATTCCTTCTTAATCCTTTTCTCTCTGTCTATTTCTCTTTCTCTGGTATTCATATCTCTCTTTCCCTCTCTCACTTGAACTGATTTAGTTGAAATCTTTTGTTTTATCTCCATTTGTTTACGGTTAATGAATAATTCCTGATAACTTGAGGCGATTCCATTGGATAATCAAAATGATTAATTTTCTTAATCCATGGTAACCTAAATTCACCAACACAAAGAGTATAATGTTTCAACACCAAGGAATTAACTAATTTTCTAATCATCAACACCTTTAATTACCTTTTACATCACAATTTTGAACAAAGAGAATAACTTAGAAAAAGAATATTTTTCTTTTCTTTTCTATTCTATTTAGGAAAAAAAAATTATCTTAGTAACAATTTAATATTCCATAAGATAATCGACCAACTCCTTTAGACACAAAGTCTAGTCAATTGGAGAAACAACAACAACAACAGTTAATTAATTAATTGTTCCAGAAGAAACCAAATCAATCAAAACAATTCCAGTTTAACCCCGATGAAAGGGGAACCTTCAAAATCTCAACTTAATGAGAGAGTGACAAAAATTGATTACTTGGTTAATTATATTCTTCTTGTCAAAATGGATCTTCAAGGTTTGTTGATGGTTTCGTTGATTAGTTAATTTTGATTCCAAATGATTAACAGTTCAAGTTGAAATTCTAAAGGGATGTTATTGGAAAAAAAAGGAAAGAGAACAGAAAATAAACTCGAAACGTTGGTCGCCATTTTCTTTCATTTGGCAAAGGAGCAAAAATTGGTTAACCTTTGTGGTCAAAATTATTTTGGTGAAATGAAATGTGAGAATTTTTTTTTCCTTTTTCTCAATCATTTTCTCTTTTGTGTCAATATTTTTTCTTCAGAGAAAGATGAAGGTTTAAAGTGCAAGATTATTCCTCATCATTTACTCAATCATTTTCTCGCCAAAAACAAACAAAATGGTTACCGTTATAAAGAGAATCAAAAGTCAAGGTTAGTTTTTTTTCTTTTCTCTCAAATGTCAACCTCATCATGTTTCTTCAATTATTCTGAATATTATTTTTCTTATTCTCTATTCAATCCACAGATTCAAGTCAGAGGTGAAGGTGATAATCACACTGGACATACAAAGTTAAATTACTAACGTTATATAAGATTAATGAACTATTTTTGTGATGTTAGTGGTGATATTGATGACTCAGGTTCGCAAGGAACCAAAGAGATATCCTGTTTGTTTTATTCTAACTGTTCATGGTAAGATTAATGCTACAAAAGATTGATTTTTTTTTCATCTTTTTTTTTGTCTACCTCATCATTGTTGAAATAATAAACTGTTTCTCTCTCATTCTCTTACCATAGACGAGATCAATATATTGCAGGTCATCCACCAGAATACCAGGAGCAACCAAATTATTTTACTTTCGTTTTTCAGTCTATTTCATTTCTACTCTTTCTTGCAATCTTTCATCAAGCATGTTAACCACGTGAAGATTTACCATGAATATCGTCCAAAAGAGTCAGAAGAGACATGAAATATTCTGGTTATAACAGTGAGCATGATTCAACCATGAGATTTCTAGGAACCAGAGGATTGACAAACAGTTGAGAGCAGAAAGTTAAACAGGAGATTGTTGAAAACACCAACCTGATATTTAACTCTACATATTGTACTTTTGTATTAATCATCACAATTATATGACAATAATTGGGTTACAACCACGGGAATATGTGAAAATGAACAAGAATTGAAAAAAAAGGATTCAATTGGAACATGATGATCTAAGCAAAATTATCCTGCCTTGATTGTTCATTGATGTATTCATGAGAAAGTTAATTATCTCACTTCATGATATCAGCGACATATCCTAAATGAAAAGATTTCCTATTGGGGTTAAAGGTAAAAACCATCACCAATCATAAGGGTAGAGGTGCGATTATAATGGTAAACTAAGGACAATTGTGATTTAATCAAACTTTAAATCATTTGTAAATTCATTCGTTCATATTGTTCATGAATGATGAATTGTTGATGAATGATCAGATAGCCTAGTAATGTCTCTGTAATTATCTGTTCAAGAACTAGAGTTTTGGGTGTGTACCTTGAACATATTATGCAAATAGGAAGTAATCAACTTGAAACTATTGTCTCTTGATGTCTTCATTTTGTTGAAAATTTAATTACCTCAAAGTTAATCAATCTTATTGCTCTAATTTCTAGGTGATCATTGATGGATTCAAAGTATTAACCAAATGGTTTCAATGGTTTACAATTTCACTTTGGAAACAATTAATCTTTCATGTCAATTGTTCAGGATAATTTGATTTCTGGTCAAATCACTATCAACAAGGAATGAATTGATTTCTAGAATCATCATACGACATGATTGATAATTGCCAGATGAATCAACAAAACTTCAGAGTTAATTTGAAAGTTTAAAGTCAATTGTTTCCTGTTTCTAACAATCTAAAAATCAGTAATCAATTATTCTGATTAGTTTTGATTAAGTTTCTTTTTTTTGTTATAATGGCTTATAATTAACTTTTTGACTTAATCAAATTGAGAATATCACACAAAAAGCTGGTTTAATTAGTGATCGATCAATAACTGATTGATTTAATTCAGTTTTACACAATCAAAGAAGACACAAGTTCAACAATAGGAAAATCTAATGACGGATCAGTTAATTGTGTTTCAAGCAATGACAAAGATAATTGTTGTTAAAAAAAATTATCAGAGTCATTCTGTTAACAATTAACTTCCTCAATAAACATTAATTAACACAATCCTAAGGTTATTAATAATAATCTGTTAATTACAATGTTTCTAATCACAATTAACATCTATCACACCTTCAAGTTTAACCAACAACTGTAATAATATAACGATGGTGATGATGATTTGATTAACCTTGACAATTAACTAACCAAAAACTAAAATGGAGTAACTTTTATCATTCGTATGTTTTACAATCTAATTGTCACAATTAAGAAAGGTAATCGTTTTAATTGTGTCTTACACTAGACGGCGAAAGGTAATCACAATTAAAAGGAACCCAATTTACTATCACATTAACAGCAATTAACCAGTTGTAATAATTAATTGATGTCTAAATATTTAGATAACTAAATCAAATGGTCAATCGCCTCACAATCAAGATAAAAATAAATAAATATAAATCAAATTATAATCACAATTAGACAGATAATTTAACCCATAGCAACAATTAATCATCCACTTAATTATTAGGAAAATTTGTTTAAATGAAAACAAAATTTGATTAACTATCTAAATGTATTAGAAATCAACTAATAATTAATGAGAGAGAAAGTTTAATATTCATTAAATCATCATGATTGACAGTTCGCAATTTTAATTTGATTAAATTTGTCAATTAAATCTGATGATTAAGATTAAGATTATGATTAAATCAATAGTTGTATTGATCAAAGTTCAATAAGATATTGGATTGATTATCTCATCTTACCAGAAGCGTTATGAACAATTTAAGCTAATTGTAATCTACTCTCTCGATTGCATAGGAAAAAAAGAGAGAATTGTTGAATTAAGTTAATTCAACAATTAAGTAATTATTACAACAATTTATCAATTACAATCAGACTCTGAACAGATAACAAATTAAACCAGAAAACCAGAAATTGAAGTTATCCTTCAATAGGGAAACATAACCAAAAGTACCAAGAGTTGATTGTTACATATTTATTAAAAGTAACTCTTAGTTTTTTTTAAGATGATTAAGATAAATTGTTGATCTTTAATCATGATAATTAACTAGATATTTATTATTAAATCGTACGATGTTATAATAATATTAATATTAGTAAAGTGGGAGAGGTTTAAAATGTTAGAGGGAAACGAAAAAGTTTCTTAAAAAACGAAACGAATCAATAAATTTCGGCTCATAACAAGATTGACTCTCGACAAGTTTTAATAATCAACAGTGATTAAATTGATCAGTGTTAAATTGTGTGTGGTTCAAGTTAATTGTTAATCATGAGTGAACAAAATAATAATAAATTGTCCGATGAATTTGTTAAAATTGAGCAAAAATGGAAACCAATGCCAATTGAAAAATCCATTCAAATGTACAGTGAATGGAGTGAAAAATATGATTCGGTAAGTAAAAGTTTGAAACAATCAAACTTGATTAGTTAATTGTTTCCATCTAATTGTTCATCCAGGATATGGATGTTTGGCAATATGATTCGCCACAAGGAACTGCTACTCGATTTACTGAATTAAATTTACCAAAGGAAAGTAAAATTCTTGATTGTGGAGCTGGAACTGGATTATTGTCCCACTTTCTAAAGCCTTTCGGTTACACAAACATCGACGCTCTCGATGGGTGTGAAAAGATGCTCGAAAAGGCCAAAAAGGTAATACTAATTAACCTTAAGTCTCTTGATTAACTAATTGTTTTTGGATGTTTTTGTTTCTTGGTTTTTTATATATAACAATTAACAGAAAGATTTGTACAGAAATTATTTCATCTCATTTGTTGGACCTGATATTACACTTCCAATGGAAGAGGCTACTTATGATGCTATTGTTATGTGCGGGATTTTTACTCCAGGTCACTTTCCTATCGCTTATGGGACATTTGTCCAGCTTTTGAGAGTCATCAAAAAAGGTAATTAGAGATTAGATATTGGATTGGATTAAGTTGATAGTAATTAAATTGATTCTATTATCTTTTTGAATAGGCGGTATTTTATCATGGGGAATGGCTGATCCTGAACATTATGCCGAAGTTGATCCTTCGTATGCGAATAAAAACTTTGAAAATTTGATTAAAAAGTTAGTCGAAGATAAAGTATTCGAGATCGTTGATGGACACCCGAAAGAACTGCCCACTGTCCAACCAAAGAAAAGGTTTTTCTATGCTGTTCGAAAACTTTGATTATTTAAGCTAATAATCTACTTACATAATTACTTTAATTATCAAGCATAAAATAAAAATTCAAGTAGTTAAATTCATCTAGCGAAATATATAAATTCATATTCTTTCAATAAAAACTTTTTTATAACGATAAAATTCAATATATTTAACTATTAACTAAATCAGTGTCATGATTTCATTCAGATAAAATCAATATTATTCAAATAATTTAATCAATTTATTAATATTTGATTGGATAAACTATTAAGAATCAATAATGAAAAAAGAGGGAAAATAATTAACTTTTCCAATAGTGGGAAAAAAATATTGATCATGACAATTGAAATGATTAAGTTATCGGATAAATTTAGATTGATTTGATAATCATTCTCAAAGTAAAGGGTGTAGCAGTTAACATTATATAATTAACTTACCTTAAATTGTGATAGATGACAATTTATTAATTTTTTCCATCACAATCACAATTTAAGTCAAGATAATTCACCGATTTAACTGCAATTACCATGCATAAGTTATCGGCAAAAATTGATTCAAACATCATATTGACAAAATACCGGATGAAGTAATTAGCTAATGATATGGTACGATTTTAACAATCAACCGATAATAGAGAAAAATTAAAAACACTTCGATATAAAATCGAGGTCATTTTTCCTGAACCCGTCGAGTGTATGATTGGTGTTGTCTGAATAGTAGGGTGGATAATAAAATGAATCGTTGTCAAGACGATTTAAACCAAGACCCCACCGGTGGTTGGTAACAATACGAAATAACAAAGAAGATGCAGTTTAAGGTAATTGAGATTATTAGTTTACGATTTCATTGATAGATGGATTTTCATATTATCCTGATTAGATTAATTATCTAAATTAATCTTTCCCATGTTTCGAGTTTATCTCTCTAAAAGTATCGCCTCTTTCATTCAATACTAGAGATAATTAATTGTCAACTTTTGTCAACAATTATTCAACTCATAAATGTCAGTTGAGTTTCTCAGGTTGTTTAATTGTTGTTAATTTTGAAATTGAGGGTTTAATTAAAGTTAATTTTATCAATCATGACGTCCGAAGGTAAAATGTCAATAAATATTGAAAACGTCCTAAGGCCAATGGCTAAAGATGAATGTGCCAATTTGTACAACGAATGGAGTGATAAATATGATTCGGTGAGTATTTAACAATTTAAATTAATCCATTGGTGATTAATGATTATATCTATGGTGTAAGGATATGAATGTTTGGCAATACGATGCCCCACAAGGAACTGCTACTCGATTTACTGAATTAAATTTACCAAAGGAAAGTAAAATTCTTGATTGTGGAGCTGGAACTGGATTATTGTCCCACTTTCTAAAGCCTTTCGGTTACACAAACATCGACGCTCTTGATGGGTGTGAAAAGATGCTCGAAAAGGCCAAACAGGTAAACAATCATCATCGTCATCAATAAAACTAATTAAGTTTCTCAATTAACTAATTGTTTCTTGGTTTTTTATAAATAACAATTAACAGAAAGATTTGTACAGAAATTATTTCATCTCATTTGTTGGACCTGATATTACACTTCCAATGGAAGAGGCTACTTATGATGCTATTGTTATGTGCGGGATTTTTACTCCAGGTCACTTTCCTATCGCTTATGGGACATTTGTCCAGCTTTTGAGAGTCATCAAAAAAGGTAATTAGAGCTTAGATATTGGTTTGGATTAAGTTGATAGTAATTAATTATTGATTCTACTATCTTTTTGAATAGGCGGTATTTTATCATGGGGAATGACAGATCCTGATCACTATGCTGATATTGATCCTGATTATGCGAATAAAAACTTTCAGAATATTCTTCATCAATTGACTGAAAACAAATTGATCGAAACGGTTACTGGACATCCGAAAGAACTGCCCTCTGTCCAGCCAAAGGAAAGATTTTTCTATGCTGTTCGAAAACTCTGAACTCGATATTAATTGTGATTTGACTTTCATTTCTTGATGATTCAGATCAACTGTTTGTCTTTGCCAAAGTCAATTTACAGTTATTAACACATCAATAGTGTTATTTAATTATCTCTTATATTAAAGACACATCATCATAATCAATCTAAACAATTAAACAACAATTAATTTTGTCAATGTGGAAATACTAGATGATTGAAGATGGGAAACAATTAATTGTCTACAAATAAATTGTCATTGATTGAATATCAATTTCTCAATATTTTTATATACCAATTGGTAAATGGTGAAAGGAAAGTTAAACAATTACAATCAATCAATTGACAATTAACCAGCGATATTTAATCAACGTCATCAACAATCTGATATTTTAAACTAATCTGCAATATCAGATTTAGCAAATTAAAAAAAAGGTAAGATAATTAAATGATTGAAAACCTTGAACCCAGCAAATAATTAATCAGTTAATCAATTTAACTAATCGGCAATTTCTTGAAAACTGATTAAATTGATTAATTAACTGCAAAGAAGAAAAATAAAAAGAGAGGGAAAGTAAAACTAATCAATCCTTTCAAACGAGTTGATACCTGATGATGATGACTAAGTAATGGAGAGAAAGAGAAAGACAGTCTATTTATCTTCTCTGTCTAATTTTATCATCATCATCTTCTTCCTATCATCTTTGTCTTCCTAAAGGTATCAACATGTTTACCTAATCAAAAAGGGTTCATCATTTGTCTTTCTCGAGTCAATCATTTCCAATTTAGTTTCTCGTTTCCATTATTGCCTTTGTGTTCATCTTAATTGTTGATCATTAGAAATTAATTAATCATGTCTACAGAAAAAGATATGTACAATTACATTGAGGAGACCCTTAAGCCCATGGCCAAAGAGGATTGTACCAAAATGTATGCTGATTGGAGTGATAAGTATGAAGAGGTGAGTTAATCTAATCAAATAAATTGAAACACTCAATTAATATTGTAGTTTTTAGATTATCAAGGTTAAGGTTAGAATGACAATTAAATTGCTACATCGATTGACCTTCTAATTTTATGAAATTAATACATTGTACTTGTTGGTACAAATGAGACCATTTTCATTGATGAATTTACTATTATCTTAATATGATTTTTGTTAATTGTTATTTTGTCTCTTAATTTAGGATATGCCGGGTTGTTCTTATAATGCACCTAAAGGAACAGCTGATCGATTCGCTGAATTAAATTTACCCAAAGATAGTAAAATCCTTGATTGTGGAGCAGGAACTGGACTCTTGGGTCAAGCGTTAAGTGATCTTGGTTATACCAATATTGAAGCGCTAGATGGATGTGAGAAAATGCTGGAAAAGCTAAACTGGTAAGTTAATTGTAGCATTGTTATTGAACAATTAACTGATTTTCTCTGATTCTTTTTACAGAAAAATATTTATAAAAATGTAACCATTTCCTATGTTGGACCTGAGATTGAGCTTCCAATTGAGGCAGAAACTTTCGATGCCTTAATTATGGTCGGAGTCTTTGTCCAGGTCACTTTCAATGGACATTGGAACTTATAAACAATTTTTAAAGCTCCTCAAGAAAGGTAAGCAAATGCTTATTAACGTTAATTAGTATTTACTAATCAATTGTCTCATCTGATGAAAGGTGGTATCATTTCATGGGGAATGGCTAATCCAGATCGTTATGCAGAACGAGATTCAACTTATGCTGACAAAGGATTTGACAAAATCATTGAAGGATTAGTTTCGGAGGGATTAGTTGAAATTGTCGCTGATCATCCAAAAAATTTACCTGATTATCTTAAAGGAGAAGATGGTTTTTTCTGGGCTCTTCGTAAATTGTGAATAGTTAATTAAACAATGATAATTAACGTGCTCACAATGAGATGAAATTATCTTTCAATTAAAGCTAAACAAAAAAGCAACATTGTAAATACTTTGCCATTGAATGAGCAAAGTACAGAGAAAGAAATTAATTAAAGAGATAGATTAACATTAATTTGTTTCCAAAATGATTAAAAATTTTAATTAATCGCGATACAACAATTAACGTAATTGGCTATTTACTATGACATTTGTATAAATTTGTTTTACATAAATGACAAATGATTAGTCTTACTAATCAAAGTAATGATACATAATTTTATGAATCAAATTTAACTACAATTAAATCAATTGATTGGGATTGTGTGTCATCAGACTAAATTGGAGGTTGAATTGTTGGCTATTGATTACAGAATATGTATTAATTATTAGTTTCCAATCAATAAATTGAACACAATACTGATCAAGGAAGACCCCAAGGATAAATTGAGAGGGTAATTTTTCTCGTTGAGATTTTCAATTGATTAAATTGTTGTTTCAAATTACAAACAGAATCATAAGTTAATTAAAACTCTCAACTAGAATCTCATATGAAAATCAGGTAACAGTTTAGATTATAAATGCCAATCAAAGTTGACCAAAGTGTAAGATTGACCATTGACAATCTATGAGAATATAATCCAAGTGGATTAATCGCAAGAGATTAAAGAAGCTAATCTTTAAATTGAAACAAAAACTATCGAATCGATAAATCCAATCAATAAAAAGTAAACTACAAAAGGTTATTGGTCATCAATTGGCTAAGATTTTTAAGTTAATCTGTTGATAATCAATGACAAACATTAATCACGTTAATTACTCACCTTCCTCAATGAACTGGAGTAGATCATCATCATAATCCATCTTGATGAATAATTAATTTCGATGATTAAGTTTATGAGTTGATCATCAACATACAATAGTCAAGACAATTAACAGTAATCAAAGAGGAAAAGTGAATTATCAAAATTGGATAACATTGAAAATTAGATTGTTGTTGTTTCAATTGATTTGATTTATTATTTAGTTTACAATCAAGTAAACAAAAACAAATATCTCTCTCTCTCTCTCTCTCTCTCCCTCTTTCTGTTTACTCCCTCTAAAATTATCTTAATTATCTTCTCAAATAAAATCAAATAGTCAATGATTAGACTATTTGTTTACATCGATTAAACCATTAATACAAACAATTAAAGTTAATTGTTAACAGATTGGATGATTGTTATAACTTGAATTCTAAAAGAAAACATTTAAATTAATCAGCGAATTGTGATTCTAACTATGAAAATAATTATCATCTCTTAATTGTAGAAACATTTGTTTAATTATCGTTATGAATTAATCATGTTTATCGGCATTTTTAACTCAGTCTATTTTCATGGTGAAACTTTTCATTGTAAAGTGACAATTTCATCATAATAAATGACATTTCTTTGAACATACAATAGGGGAAAATGTTGATTGTTCACTAATTGTCAAATTGTCAATTTAAATGGCGTTAAATTGATGATTAAACACCATCAGGTAACATATGATTTAACAATTTACGTCTGTTCAATCAAATTGTAATTAATACAATTTTTTATAATCAATTCGCAGACTAGAGATTGAATTTATGTAACCAAATTGATTTTGATAGGAAAATACAATTGTGAATGGATTGTAACAATTTGAATTACTAATTAAAGACAAACTAACTTTTAAGCGATTAGAATATTTTGATTGTACTGACCATTGGAAGAATTGGAAATCAGTTTGATACTTGAGAGGAAATACTAATTCTTGTGCAGTGAATTCAATGAACGGAGTTAATTGTTTAACATTTAATTAGACTAAATCTCTATCATGGTTGATATGAAATTTGTTAAACAATAGAAATAGAGGATCTGATTTTGATTAGTTGATGAGTGATAATTGTTTCAAATGAGAATCAATCAGATAATGAAAACTGTTTATTTCCATAAGTTACTAAATATCAACGCAAAGACTGACAAGTACAAGGGATGAAAAGACTTTGATTTTGGTAAAGTAAACGAAGAAGTTGTAACTCTAGATTTGTTAATACGAAAGAGAAAATTAATTCAATTTATCAAGGTGAACAAATTAAGCGAAAACGAAAAATTCTAAATAGAATCTTTCAGCAAAAAGAACAAATTTTTAGCATCAAAGTTTTGAGAAAAGAGGAAAGGTGATTAAGGAGAAGGAAAATTTTAGTAATTACCGTCTATTGATCCAAAGGTTTTATCAGAGTCGAGGTTGGACTTCGGAAGAAGTGAATGTTTTTCATCATGAATTTCGGTGGGAAGCCGATTGAATGGAAGTAACTTTAAGATGGTTGACAACATAAAAGAACAATTTTCTTCTTTTGGATTAGATTTTCTCTTCTTTTTTTCAAACACTTTTTTATTCTCTTTTTCCTTCTGGTTAACAAGTCAATCAACTAACACAACAATCAAACAAAGAAAAAGAACAATCAATAATAATTAAGAATCAATCATTGTATTAATTAGTAAATCACAAAGAGAAAGAAACTCAAAACTATCGGTCAGTTGGTTGTTGTTATTGTTTAGAAATCAACTGGTCCAAGTTGAGAAAAAAAAAGAAAAAAAAACAGCGCGAGAGTTGAATTGGAAAAACAAATGATCTCTTTTCGTTGAAACAGATTAATTGTGTTTTCTACTCGTTTTCATTTTCTAATTAATGTACACTAATTACCAATAGAATTTAATTAATTCCTTATCATTAAAGTAATTTCCCTTTTCTGTAAATCATTAATTTACTTTCTCTCATTTCAACCAATGAAATAGTTTATGGATCAACATAATTTGTTTACCATTGAATTGGATCAGTTTAATTTTGCCAACTAAATTAATTGTGTTCATCTGTGGTTTACGGTTTAATTAGTGTTCATTTATTGAAACAATTACATATTCTGGTATTTAACTGAATCAAAATTGATGGATTATCCCTTTTGGATCAATATTTTGATGAAATCACAGATATTTTTTTCATTTTCACTTTGGATAATTAAGTAAACAAATTAGTGTTTTTTTATAGGATTTTCCCTTAGGCCTTTTGTTGACTTTTTGTTGTACAATTAATACAATTAGGAAAATTGTAACTTACCTGGTGGCCTGATGATTAGTTGATATTATTGAAAGGATTTAATGTCAATCGGTTATCACTAAGGTTCACAATTGTTTACGTGTTGAAATTTTTTCGCTTCTGTTTGGTTGACAATACAATCCAAACGAAAGTGTTTAATCAATTGAGCTCTTATTTGATTTATTGATACTTTGACATTTCCCTTTCCTTTTCCCTTAAATTGTTAAACTAATTGTTCAAGCTTGCAATAGTTTTAAAGTGTCAACTATTTCACTTTAAAACTTTAGTAGTTAACTTATTGTGATGAAATTAATTTTTTTTTCTTTTATTATTATTGATCAAGATACACTTTTCTCTTCTCGTTATGGTTAATATCTGATTATGTGGACAAGTGACAATCACCATGATGAATATGATGATAAGTTAAATTGAATCAATACAATTCCATTACCACATGAAACGTTGAAGCTCATCACTGTTTGACCATTTGAATGGTTTGTTAAGGAAGATAAAAAAAGTTAATCCATTGATTAACATGTTGTACATAAGCTCCAAGGATAATGATAAAGCTGAATTGGTGAAAATGTTGAGTCTCCAGATGATAAATGCAGGTACAAAGTAACGGAACTCCAAGAGTCGCTGAGGTATCACTATGATACAAATGGATAAAATAAATAAACATTTCCATAGATTATCTTTACGGTGGATAAGATTAATGAAAGACCAGCTCGTTAAAAGGCACACTGGTAAAAGAGTATAACGGATAAATGATTCACTATTACCAAGGATTCGCCTCCAAAGGTAAAAGGTGAAATGTCGATTATCGGCCAACAAGTAGGAATGTGGTAAACTTTGGAATTTGATTATTACAATTATTGCAATGGAAATTAAAAGGACGGTGGTCATATTCTTGTAAAAATAGGCCATAAATTTTCGTAAACTTCCAGTCAACAATATCCATGGGACAGCAAATAGAAAAGTAAAGAAAAGAAAGTAAACTAATTGTGCAAGATGAAAAGTAACCTCATGAGCACTTCTATCACCAAGAACAATTCCTACAAAAAGAAAAAGTGAAAAGTATTAATAATAATTGAGAGTAGGAGAAAGAGTTGCAATTGTAATAATCTCACCTTGATTGTAGAATACAAATACACCAAATAGAATTCCGGTGATTAAATAGCCACCCTGGCTAAGGAGTATTTGAGGAATGGATGAAATGAGATTGGAGAAAAGTTTCGAGCGTTTCTTGGACCTTTCGAAAGCAGCCTGTAAAATCTATACAAAAAAAAGGAGATAATTAGAGAATTGAATTGATTGGTAGTTGATATATTCTCAAACCTTTAGGGAAGAGTAAGCGGCGAAAAAGAAACACCAAACAATATTAGTTTGACGGAAAAATAATGAAACGAATCCGAAAAGTGATGCAATCCAAGTTTGGTCATTAATGTGCATTAAATACATGGCAAGAATGAAAAATAGTGACCCAGAGTCGGTATAGTAGAGGAAATTGAAAAAGAAAAGAGTTGGGGTTGTCGATAATGATATAGCTGATACCAGAGTTTTGATTCGACAAATTTTCTGAAAAAAATAGAAACACCGAGGAGAAAATCAATACTGAGTTAAATCGCTCGTTAATTGCGAAAATAAACACAAACACAAAACTTACAGCTGAATATCTATTTTGTTTATAGCTAATTAGATACATGAGAATAACATTTCCAATAGCGAATAGTAGATTGATGAATCGAACCAATGGAACTGGACATTTACGGTTTGGATCTTCTTCACCGAAGGCGATAAGTTCCGATACAGGTTTGAATAGAACCCATGTTGTAAAATAGAGTCCGGGTGGAGTAGTTATCTTTGGATTCCACTGTGAATAAGAAAATAAACAAATTGGAAAAGAAGAGAAACATATGAAACATTAATTGATAGAAATCCTTTTTATATCGATTAACTTACATGTGTGAAATTGTGAACACAATAAGAACGCACTTGTTGAATATGGAATATCTCATCCATATATGGTTGCTGAACCTCTTCATTAACTAACATATAAACACTCAACAGAGAAGTAGAATATGTAAATATAATGATTGCGGCAATTTTATTAAACAATTGGTCAGTTTGAAGATGATGCCCAACACTGGGCGAGCCATTTGATTTAGTTGAGTCCATGGGTGGAAACATTTTCAGGCTTAATGTGTTTAAGAAATAAAGTTAATCATGTAATAAGACAGGTAACACAAACATTAAATTGGGAAACTTTGATTGTTGAATTATTGGTGACGATTAAAGAGAAAATTCTACTCTATTGAAGGAAACATAAATTAGAATTAAACAATTATTTTCATTGTAATTTTCGGTGGGAAGCCGATTGAATGGAAGTAACTTTAAGATGGTTGACAACATAAAAGAACAAATTTCTTCTTTTGGATTAGATTTTCTCTTCTTTTTTTGAAACAATTTTTTATTCTCTTTTTCCTTCTTGTTAACAAGTCAATCAACTAACACAACAATCAAACAAAGAAAAAGAACAATCAATAATAATTAAGAATCAATCATTGTATTAATTAGTAAATCACAAAGAGAAAGAAACAAAAAACTATCGGTCAGTTGGTTGTTGTTATTGTTTAGAAATCAACTGGTCCAAGTTGAGAAAAAAGAAAATCGCGCGAAATTTGAATTGGAGAAATTTTACTAATCAAAATTTTTTTATCGTTTTTACTTTTTTATTTTGAATTTTCCACTGATCATTGGTTAAAACGAAAGTCTAATTGTTGGTAATTAGTTAGTCAGATTAATAAAAGGTTATCGAATAATTAAAGGTCAGTTTATTAAGATACATTTGCTCTTTTCGTTAATTAATATGATTAAGATAAAATCGGTTTCATGGTAAAAATTGAAAGAATTTGTTCAAGGCAATAGTGTCTTGGATAATTGAAAGTGTAAATTAATTGATAGACGAATTGATGTTTCATTTAATTGTCTCTCCAATATTCTCAGATTGATTATTTGGGGAAAATTTTGACGATTAATTTGAGCTTTCATCAGAAATTTTGTTGTTGATTTTGACATTTTCTTTTCGTTTCAATAGCATCGAGGATCCTTTGTCTTTTAGCTGCGTATCGATGTCTAAGTTTTTCAATTTCATTTTCCATTTCGAAGTCAAGATTAGTTATTCGTTTAGGAAGCTCTTCGTTGGACAAAAATCTAATAAAATCAAAATCACTTTCTAATAAAATCGATCGAGATAATGGTTGATATTGGGAAGGTTGCTGGTGTTGTAGTTGTATTAATAGTTGTGGAGATTGAGGAGGTAAATACGGCGGAAGTTGAGCTTGTGGTTGGGGCTGTGGTTGAAGTTACAATCTAAGAGGCTATGGAGAACATACCCCCAGGGAAGAAGGAAGCAAAATTTTGAGGTAGAAAAGGGTTTGAAGGTGGGTCGCTGTCGAACTGGTTGATGAGGTTGTCGGTAGTTTAGAGGTTGTTGGTGTGGATGCAGTTACAGAAGGGTTTAGTAAACCACTGAATGATAATCGATGAAGTGGTTTTAAGGGATGATGATGATTATTATTGTTGTTGCTATGATTATTGTGATGATGAGAATCAGATGAGAAATTGTAAAAACTATCATCTTCATTTTTTTCGACATTATCTTAAGAGGATGAGTTGGTTTTCGACATGATTTTGATGAGGCATCGCTATTATGGTGTTGAGTTAATGATGAGCTTTGTTTTTGTTTAAGATGTTGAGGTTGGCTTGATGCAATTAATTCAGTTTGAGTTAATTGAGATCCTGAATGTGCTGCAGGAGGTAAAGTGTTATTATGATTACTACTACTACGAGAACTATTATTTGGTAATACATGTAAGGAGGAAAGGTGATGATGATGAGGATGATGATGGTGTGAACATGTTGTTGTTTGTGATAAGAGGGAAGATGATGTGAGGTACTACAAAGTGCTGTTTGATGGTGGTGACGATGATGACCACTTGGTCCACCAGTAAGAAGATGAGAGAAAGAAAAGATGATGATGATGATGATGATATGGATGAAACGGTTGGTGAAGATACAGTTGCGGTTGCAGGTGAATGAGCTGACCCATCGGTTGAATTTGTCTCCCGTTAGTGATCCCGATATTGAATGAACTGGACCGATGAACCACTCGCACCAACAATACTTGAACCAACGGGAACAATACCAGTACCACCGCCAAAGACTTCTACTTCACTAACTGAACCACCACCTCCTCCTACAATAGCTAATGTACTACTGGCACCATTTTTTTTCATATGCTCTCTGTCGGCGTACACGAAGAGTGTTGGGATTTGTAGGACATTTATGAAATGTAAGATGATGTCGACGGGGAAATTTTCCAAGGCACTTATCACAGACAAAGGGTTTATCCTTTTTGTGTACCAGTCTATGAGCTTTCAATTGATTTGAGTCTGAAAACTTTGAATGACATCCAGAGACATCACAAGCATAAGGCCGTTCACCTGTACCCATACGCTCATGATTCTGTAAAACATGTTCATGTCCAACACTGGGCGAGCCATTTGAATTAGTTGAGTCCATGGGTGGAAACATTTTCAGGCTTAATGTGTTTAAGAAATTGGGAAGCCTTGATTGTTGAATAATTGTTGACGATTGAAGAGAAAATTCTACTCTATTGAAAGAAACATAAATTAGAATTTAACAATTATCGGTGGGAAGCTGATTGAATGGAAGTAACTTTAAGATGGTTGACAACATAAAAGAACAATTTTCTTCTTTTGGATTAGATTTTCTCTTCTTTTTTTTCAAACACTTTTTTATGCTTTTTTTCCTTCTGGTTAACAAGTAAATCACAATGAGAAAGAAACAAAAAACTATCGGTCAGTTAGTTGTTGTTGTTATAATAACAATGTAACATTGTCAATGTTATTGTTTAGAAATCAACTGGTCCAAGTTGAGAAAAAAAAAAGAAAAGAAAATCGCGCGAAATTTGAATCGGAGAAATTTTACGAAAAAAAGTTAATTCAAATTAGAATTTTATTGGTTCAGTTTTTCGATTGTTGATTAATAGACTAATTTATTCTAGTTCAATATTATTGCTATAAAAAATTTCGTTTTTACTTTTTCTTTCACATTTTTAGTTTAGGAAGCTCTTCGTTGGACAAAAATCTAATAAAATCAAAATCGCTTTCTAATAAAATTGATCGAGATAATGGTTGATATTGGGAAGGTTGTTGGTGTTGTTGTAGTTGTGGTGGAGATTGAAGTTGAATTTGGTGATGAATTGAGTTAATTGAGAAACTTAATTAGTTTTATTGATGATGATGATGATCGTAATCACAATCAAGAATTTTACTCTCCTTTGGTAAATTTAATTCAGTAAATCGAGTATCCCAGTTCCTTGGGGCGAATCATATTACCAAACATCCATATCCTGGATGAACAACTAGACGGAAACAATTAACTAATCAAATTTGATTGTTTCAAACTTTTACTTACCGAATCTTATTCTTCACTCCATTCACTGTACATCTAAATGAATTTTTCAAACTGTCAAATAATGCTCCGAGCAAAAGTATTGGGAATCAGTTAATCATGATTAGTTCGAGAATGGATAAGGTTTAATTTTTCCCAATACTTTTGCTTGGAGCTTTACTCACCGAATTATATTGATCACTCTATTCGTTGACTAACTGTTTGTTTAAATCAAAATCGTTGAATAATCTAACATGTATACAGTTGGGTAAATGAGACTATTGTCTATGCAGAATTAAATAAATTTATTTATTTTGTAATCAGTCTCAATGATTATGTCATCGATAATACAAATATGAGTTTTCCTCGGACCAATTTTTATATTTCTTCAAAACTCATCGAGTAAAACATTGACATTATCATGAAGAGTGACCTGCGATGAATATCCTGTTGAGAAGAACGAGAAATAAATGAATTGTTAATATGCCAATTACCTTATAACTTTACCTTTGAATTTGATCAACTTAAGAGCTTCTTTTGTAAAGTCAACAATAATCTGCATCGGAGATACCAAGTGGCCTGAATCGCTAGATGCTCCAATACCAGCGAGTACATTAGTAACAAAAGTGTCTACATTAATTTTAAGGGTCTTTTCCACATCCAAATCTAGATCGTAACAATTAATTGATTTTGTACCATTAAAAAACTTCCAAAATTAGTTGGACAACTTACCAGGAATATTGAGATGGTTAATCAAACTTGTAACAAATCGAGTCGCTGCTAATACTTTGTCTTCTTCGAGATAGATTATTCGAGTTACCACTGATAAAAAGTGAATATTTTCGAAACTGATTCACTTAAATCAACTATTATTGATTGAAGAAAATCAAAAATGTCATGAAAATTATTTTCTGTGTCATCAGAATAATTGAATATAAATATTTACATGGTAATAAATCTCCGGTCAAAAGACTGTCGATGAGATTTATAAGATTTTCTTTGTTGTTGAGTTTAGAATCCCAAACTAAATTGAATTAAGTGAAATTGATAAAATAAGTTTCTCAGTTGATTATCAATCGAGCAATTACCTGGCGTATAACCAGCATCAAATTGTTGATCGATTTGCCGAACAACATTGGATTCAAGGGAACCATCGATTTGCCAGCCTGTAATTCAAATGAGAATCTCAATCAATTAGTATGAAAATTATCGAAAAGTTTAAATTTTCATCATAACAAAATTACCTTTGAGATGTTCAATTTAGTCTACATATAGTTGAACGTACGCCCTGGTTTCATTACTAATTTGTTATTATATTATTATACATATTATATTAGCTTTTGAGTTGAGAAATTAAAATTAACTAGTTACAAGGAGTAAATCTAGTTATCTTCAACTAAATCTATTACTTACTATTTTCAACTGGATTAGCTTTGATTGTTGAGATGAGAGTAACAATAATTAAAGTAAGTAACATGTTCATATAATAGATTTTAGATTTTTCAATCATATAAATATTCAATTGTCTAGTAGTTTAATTGATATTAATTAAAATTTTCTTTTTATACAAATTTCATTTTATATTATCTCTCTCGTAGGAGTCGCACCGAAAACATCATACTCGAAATACACTGATTTTATATTGTCCTAAGTAACTGACAGAATATTAGATAGAAAGACAATAGAAATTATATAAATTAATCAATTAACGTTTCATTCATGATCTGAGATCTTGCAGGTAGATAATCATTACTATCAACATGGGTTAATTCTGTTGATTTCAATCAAATTTGGAATATAATCTATCATATGCTCTCTATCAGTTTCATTGAAGTGGGTCTCATGATCGCTACTCTTAATCTATTAATCTTCACTTAACATTATTGAAAATGATATGAAATCCAAAGATGCAACGAATCTCTTAATCAAGTACAATTGTGAACATTGACAAATCACAATTATAATTGTTTCATATTGCCTTAATTTCACTGATTATTCAAAAAAGCAACATCCACAATAGATGTACTAAATAAAAGACAATTGAAACAATTAATCCTATGACAATCATGGTTATTAAAGTGATATCAAAGAGTAGAATGTTTTATTAAAAGTGAAATGATTTAGATATCATTGTTTTATATCAGTTATTATCCCT